GGGAGGGCCAGGAACACTAGCTTTTATAAATTGATTTTGTAACCTGCCACTTTACTGAGCTAGTTTATTTTCTTTAATTGTTTCTGAGTGGGGTATTTAGGGTTTTCAGTGTATGTTATGTCATCTGCAATTAGTGAGAGTTTTACTTTTCTCATAATTTGGAGTCTTTTTGTATTTTTCTTTTGTCTAATTGCTCCAGCTTGGATTTTAAATACCACTTTAAACGGTAGTGGTGAAAGTGGACATCCTTCTCTGGTGCCAGATCTTGGAGGGAAAGCGTTCAGCTTTTCACCTTTGAGTATGACATGCCCATGCATGGTTTTTATTATGTTGCAGTATGGTCCATCTATCCCCACATTTTGAGGCTTTTATCATAAATGGATGTGGAATCTTATCAGATGCTTTCTCTGCATCTATTGATATGACCATGTAATTTTATCTCCTTTCATTAATGTGGTTAATTACATTGATCAGTGTTTGGATACTGAACCATCCTTGTGTCCCTGGATTAACTGCCACTTGGTCATGGTATATGATGCTTTCAGTGCATTCTTCAATTTGGTTTGGAAAGATTTTGTTGAGGATTTTACATGTATATTCATTAGTGGAGAGCTTAGAAACCCATTTAGTGCTTGCCTCACATATCTGGGTGAGGACCCTGATTACAGGCTGACTACAGATAAACAGACTTGGCCAAAGACTTGAGTTTCTTTTTCTAACCTGGGTCTTAAATATTTGTACATAGTGACATAAGATATTAGACATTACACATATACAGTATTTTCCATTTCAGTAGAATTTAGCCTTCCTTGTTTATTCAGTGCTCAAATGATGAAGTCGTCCTTTTTTTTTCCTTCTCAGTTTGTCAGCTGATGAGAAATTGCAGTTAGAGTTTTTTTCAGTTTCATCATTGGTTGCTACCAATTTGCATGGATAAATTTAAACTTTGCTTTTAGCTGGGTCACAAGGTAGAGTTGCTTGGCATAAATATTTAATTTTTCCAGCTGACTGAAGCACTCAGTGGTAAAGGTATTATAGCTAATGTTTCTTGCTGAAACTTCACCTTCATAGTGTGCATTGCTGCTTTTTCTGTTATTGGAATGTACACCAAACTAATTAGTTGTAAACAGTATTTAGAGAGTGCTACACCAAACTTCATTGTATTATAAGTAAAACTGGACTCTGAATTTCCAAGAGGGAATGAAATATAATTTGTGTTCACTAGTTTTTTCACTACTTCCCTATTGCAGATTTTAAAAATCAAAATATGTGTAAGATTATTTAAAAATAATTATAAACTAATAGAAGCAATACAATTTCAAGTCTTTTGCAGTATTGAGAAGTAGCACATAATACTCTTTGAGGTTGAAGGGGGTATGCACAGCAGTTCTGGGTTACACGCCCCTTGGCGCTCTGTTTAGCTAAAATGCTGAGCCACCCCTAGCACATCTTTTATTTCCTTAGTGAGCATTTTACAGTTCAGAGTTCTTTTATTCTTGGGAAGGAAGCGTGGTGGGAGGGGAATTCAGAATTAAACTTACAATGAAAGTTCTTCATTCCTTTAATGAACAGATCATTCCTTTAAAATGAATTTCATCCTTTTATAGCTCACAGAGTGAACTGCAGAAAACAGGAAATGGCATAGTTTGTGTCACATCTGAGTCAAGGGATAGAGCTCATGTTGCCACTGCAGAGCTCTGTCTGTGTGACCTGCCCCTCAGTGACTGGAAAGGACATCCACCAGCCCACAGCGAGATCCCTCCAGTGGGGATGATAGCCACTGTCCTGGCTGGGGCCCCAGGAAGGGCAGATGTCCTTTCCTTCACCCCTTTGCCTTTTAAGATCAGAACTCACAAGCCATGCATGCCACTGCGTAAGTAGCTTTCTATATAGATTGACTGCCCAAGCTGCAAGCCTTTCTTGCCTCTTTGCACTTAAAATATA